CACACACCTGGCCGCATGGACATTGAGCTGCAGGGGAGGGAAACAGCATGAGGCTGACCGAGGTTGCAGCCCTTCATGGAATCTGTGGGCCATCAGAGCCAGAACCCCCAACACTGGGCACAAGGGCAGCAGGTCATCCCTAGACCACCCAGGTCAGGCCCAGGTGAGGGCAGCACAAGCTGGCCTTGGTACTTGCAGGTGTTGGGGGGCAGGCCCTACCCAGTTGTACTCACAAGACCGCTCTGCGCGGGCGAATTGTCCTGCCACGATCCAGGAGAGTGCAGTGACCGCAGCCAGGGCCCCCATGTGCAGGAATGGTGCTGTGCCCTGTGTGTGGGAGAGGTAAGAGGGATCCGTGACTCCCAGCTGTGCCCAGGCCCTCTGGTCACTAGTGTCCTGACAGCATACCTCCATCTAGGGGGCAGACAACCCTATCTCCATTTGCCAACTGAGGATGCTGGGCCTCTCAGGACCCTGGCATGTAGCAAGCTCCCTGCCTCTGACCTGCTGTGTAAGCCTGGGCGCCTCCCTGCTCCTCTCTGGGCTGTGGTCTAGAGAAAGGGAGTGATAAAGGCGCTGCCTTGTTACAAGGGTCCCGGGGAAGCAGTACCCCCACCCCCGCCCCCCACACTCACCTGTAGGGAGATCAGCAGCACCTCCCACTCATCCTCCCACAGCTGGGCCACGGCTGACATGGCCACCACCGTGAAGGCCAGGATGACCATCAGCCCTACCTAGAAGGGGCAAGAGGCACCAGACAGAGGTCAGAGCAAATGTGAGGGTTGCCAGCATGTCTGAGAGGGACTACATGGCATGGGCTGGAAGAAAGCCAAAGACGGGCAGACAGAGATGGCAGTGAGAGATAGAGGCAGGAGGAGGCAGGCAGACCCAGTGACAAAGGGACAGTGAAAACAGAAGAGGATGGAGAGAAGAGATGAGGAGGGAACCACTTAGCTAGTGGGGTCTCCCCTGCACATCCAAGCGCTGCTCAGCACGCCCGGCCTCCTCCTGAAGCAAGACCCTTTCATCTGCAGGACAGATGGAATGACTTGCCCAGGTGCTGGGGGCAGGTGGCAGATGCGCGGTCCAGCCTCGCACGCTGGCTGGGCTCACAGTGATATACATATAAAATACGTTAGGGACCAGATGCTCAGGGCTGGGGCCCAGGGCAAGCTTGGAGATGTGGCCAGTGGGCAGAACTCTGTCTCACTGCGTGCCCTGCCTGAGGGTGAGGGCAGAGACAGTGGCCTATCCATCTTTGCTCCCTGCCAGGTGAGGAAGATTAATTCCTGCGTGGGATTAAGTTTTCTTTTAGAGGCTTGTCATTCTAGTCTATCAGCCTGGAAACTAACGTTCCCATAAGAAAAAGTAACAAAGCTGAGATACGTAGGGGCCTGTCCAGTGTGACAAGCCAGCTCGGGACACAAGGGAAGGGGAGGAGGTGCAGGTGTGCCCGGGGCCGGGTGAGGCACCTCACCTTGCCTTCCGTTTATTCTCCTAGCACCCCAGGTGAGCTATCATCATCCCCATTTTACACACAAGGAATTGAGGCTCAGACAGCCTAGGGGCTTGCTTGGTCCTGTCCCTTTTAAGAGGCAGATCCAGAGCAAGCCCCTTCTGTCTCAGAGGTGGTGCTCTTTCTTGGATGTCAAACTGCTGTCAAGAAGGTAAAAGAGTCTCTGGGGGGCTCGGAATTTCTAACAGTCCCTGAGAACCACGTCCCCTCCTCCCTGCTGCCCTCTCGTGGCCCTGGGAGGAGGCCCTGGACACAGCCAGTGTCTCTGAAGGGTCATTTCTGAGAGTGTCTTATTACAATACTTAACTGCTAGTGGAAATACTTGCAATAAAACTGATTCCCCATAATCCTAAAACAATTAAAAATGTGATTATCCCTGCGTTTTACAGTTGCTGTGGTGGCAACCTTCATGCTCCGCAGCATTACATTACAGAATGCTCAGCATCTAGGATTTCCCCCCTACGTTGTGTCCTTAATCCCCAGCAATGCACTGACTCCCAACAATGTGACTACCATTCCTTAAATCTGACTGGGAAGGATGAACCCTGCCCTAGAAGCCTGGATACAGAACCCTGCCCTCCTCTGAGAAAGTAGTCTTAGTGGGTCTTTCTGTCCTGGTGGGACTGTTGTTGCAGTAGCAATGGGAGGGACGAAGGTTACAGCAGGTACGTTCATTCATTCAGTGAGCCTTGCCTGGGTGCAGGGACCCAAGAGGAGCTAGAGTCCAGCGTTGCAGAGGTGCCACAGGTTGGCCTCTTGGGGGTGTCTAGCCTCTGGGTTCTGTGGTCCAAATGACAGACAGCTGGCCTGGGTTAAGGGCCACACTCCAGGCACACTCCTGGGTCAAATCCTGGCTCGCCTACCTAATGGGGAAGTTAACCTCTCCAGGGATCTTTCCTGACTGTGAAATGGCGACAGAGAGTGTCCACCTGGAAGGGGCGGGGAAAGACGGATGAGAACATGCAAGTGAAGGGCTCAGCACTGTGGCTGGCACCAAGGCCTATGCTTACTAAATGCTGGTGGTATCACTTTAAAAGTGAGCGTGGTATCAAATGAGCAGGATTACTGAGAGGAGCAAATGAAATACTGTGCGGAAAGCACCTGACACCTGCAGTAAGCACCCAGTGAATGAGGGGTATTGCTCTTATGATGAGCACAGTGCCTGGCACACAGGAGGCTCTCAGGGAATGTGTCTTCCTGAAGCCACAGCTGGAGGGACAGAAGCTGCACTCTGGGAAGAACTGTAGGGCCGGGGCCAGCTGCTTGGACAGAAGGCTGAATTCACCAGGAACATGGATGAGGTGGAAATGGTGGGACCGCAAGCAAAGGTGCTGATCATGTCTGGGCTGGGGGCAGGTGTGCCAGCCCTGGCTCAGCCAGCAACTTGCTGTGTGGCTGTGCGGTGCCCAGTGCTCTTCCACAAAGGAAGCAGGCTGGGCAGTGGGCTGCTGTACAGTGGTGAGGGAGTCAGGCAAGGACACAGGAGGAGCACAGTATGCTCAGGGCTATGACAAGGGACAGCCTGGGGAGGTGGGAGCTGGAACTGAAGCACCTCGCACAGGCAGCATCTGAGCTGATCGTGGGTGGTGGGTGGGGCAGGCCAGAGGCACCTCAGGGAAAGGACCAACTATTTACTGTGAAGCCCCCAAGAACCTTCACCTCACCTCCTGGGTCCCTGGACTTCTGAAGGCTCACCTGGGAGGGATTTCTGGGAAACAGGAGTTTGAGGAAGAAGAGGAAGGTCTCCAAGTGGGCACCCGGATCCACTCACAGCACCCAGCCTGCGACCAGTAGGCTCCCCACCCAGTCCTCAGCACTTTGCCCTCCCCTCCTCAGGACGCAAGGGAACAAGAGACTCTCAAAATAAAGATCACGAGGACAACGTACTGAAAACTCTAGCCTTTAAAGCAATACAGGGAACTGGCTAGAACAGAGAGATAAATGAAAATAAGTAAAAAGTTCCTAAAAAGATCTAAATACACTAAAAAATTCAGTATATGATAAAAGTAGCATCTCAAAATAGAGGGGAAAGTATGGATTATTCTGTACAGAAAACTGGGAACACTGGGAAACCACCTAAAAGGAACAAAGTAAGATCACACTATGCCCCAAAACAACTTCCAAAAAGATTAAAAAATTGAAACGTTAAAAAAAGTGGAAACATATAATTACCAAGTGATACCATAGAAACATTTTTTATAATCTTGGAGTGGCAAAGACCTTTCTGAGTCTGACAGAAAACCCACGGGCCATAAGAAGAGATGACAGATTCAAATACTTAAGAATATAAAAAACCTGTATGCCAAAAATACAATAAGTGAAGTCAAAAGATGAATGACAAATGAGATAGAAGTATTTGCAGTTCATCAGCCAAGGGGCTAATTTCCCAAACCTACAAAGAGCTCCTGCAAAATCAAAAAGCAAACCCCATGGCAAAAAGGGCAAAAGATATGAAGAGACACTTTTCTACAAGAAAGGAAAATACAAATGACTCAAATACGTGAAAAATGCCAAATCTAACTCACCATAAGGGAAATGCAAATTAAAACTACAGTGAGGTACTCTTCTTCGCCCATCACATTGGCAAGAGTCGAGAAATCAGCTAACACTTTGCAGGCAAGGGTGTTTTTACAGGCACAACCATACATTGCCAAGGGAGCATGAATTGGCTCTTGGCAAGGAGACTATTTGGCAAGGTCAAAATCATGAAAATACACATTCTTTACCCAGAAATTGCTCTCCCAGGTCACTGCCACACTGTCCTGGCAAAGAGCTGAAAGCAACCAGGATGTCGACCAAATTCATCAACAGGGAACTGGCTAGATACCCAGGGAGTTAGGGAACATCCCGATCAGGCAGCAGCAGCAAGTGATGGACACCAGTGCGGACGCTCTGAATGCACCGAAGAAGGAACGTACCTCTCTTAATGTGCAGAACAGAGGGTGCAGCAGGCTACTATGTGTGTTTAAAGAAAAAGGAAATGGATATGTATATTTGTACATGCTTAAAATATCTCTACAAAGAACGTGGGAAGATTTTTACTGTGTGTTTTTTGTGCCTTTTGAATTTTGAAACATGTCATTGTATTATGTGTTCAAAAATTAATTAAAGCAAAACAAACAAAAAATGAATAAAGATTCCTTAGAATCTTAGAATCAAAAAACAGAATCCTGGCAGTAGAATTTCCAGCCCCTGCTTGAGCACTCTGAGCCCCAGGATCTCCCTCCCTCCTGGCGTGGTGGGCACAGCTATGGGCCCAGCTATGGGTCACTCTACCTGGAAGGACCTTCCTCGTGCTGAGATCCCATGGGAGGGGCAGAGGGGAGAGGAAAGCAGCTGGCACTCTGGGAGCTGGCACCAGCATGGATGATGGGATCTCACTCCCTGCACTGATCTGCCACCTCCACTGCTCAGTGGCTCTATAGGCCTCTCTATTAGGATCAAGCAGATATGACCTGACCTGCTGAGAGCCGAGCATGGTCTCAGGAGGTGGCCACAGTGTGTGCCAGCCCCACCCAGGATGCCTGCTGGTGCAGTTCTTTCAGGTGTCAGCTTGGCAGCTGGGAGAAGAAAGTGCCTCACAGAGGGGACTGTGGAAGTGCAGAGGAGAGCTCAGGATAGAGTGACGACCAGAAGGAGAGTGGGAGGGGACCAAGGGTTACTCGCTGCTCTTTACCCCTCCAAGACTTCAGTCACCGGCTCTGACTGCTAAGCAACAGTCCCCTGTAATTAACTGACCTGGATGCCCCCTTGGATGCTCGTGGGTACCTCCCCTACACATCCCAATTCAACCCACCCTGTCCCTCTTCCTCTTCCTGCTCCATGTCCCCCTTCTAGCTGGAAATGAATCCCTCCCCTCCAAGTCACTCTAGACCCATCTCATGGGCTTACGGTTGTTTCTGGACATTTCTGCCCCTTCCTAAATGGTGTGCCCACTCTGAGAGCCAGGCTGTAAGAGAAGAGAGATGACCCAGCTCTCCCTCCATGGCTTAGGTGTTCCTGGGAGGGCATCTTGGTCAGCTTTGCACTACCCCTGTGCCCACCAGTGCCTCAAGAAGAGCAGGCATCACAACATACATGCAGCACCATGTGTGCAATGAATGGTGAGCCAGAGACTAAGGCTCTAGAACATATGAAGCCTGCCTGCTTTGGGCCCAGCCCTAGTGGGGCATTGGGCACAGGGAGATGGACAACACTTATTCTGGTCTGCAAGGGGCACCCAGGCTGAGGTGGGTTGGGGTCAGGGAGCCAGATGGAAATTGACAACACAGACGCTCAGAGACGTGGCAGAGGAGGCTGCAGGGGCTGGGGGGCCTGGTGAGAGAAGCCTGTGTACATAGGGGAGGAGTACCAAGAAAGGGGTTCAAAAGGCAGTTTACGGGGGCGAGAACAAAGGGTAAAAGTAGAGTAGAGGCAGACACACTGGGAGGGCCTGTGATGTCTCACACAGCAGAAGCTAAGGGTGACTGTCCCATGACAGGAGCTGGGAATCATTGGCAAGGGCCAGATCATGCCGGGTGGGGGAGTTTGGGTCATCCTGGGAGCAATGGGAGTGGTGGAAAAGGCTTTAAGTTGGGGAATGACATTGTCAGATCACTGAAGTACTTAGAGGAAGGTGAGACCTGAGGCAGAACCAGCCAGAGGGCCAGTTACTACAACACGTGCTGAGAACTGTGTGGGTTAATCACATGGCCACAGGGCTAGAAGCCTGGATTTTCCACTTATAAACTGGGAGACCTTGGACAAGTTATTTAATGTCTTTGGACCTCAGTTTTCCCAACTGCGAAATAGGATGATAATAGTATTCACAACACAGGGTTGCTATGAGGGTTAGTTAAATAAGTTAATGCAGGCCAGGTTGTGAGAACAGTACTTGGCACATGGTGAATGCTCAGGTTAGCTCCTAGAACAATTATAACCATGATCTAGGGGAGGGGTGATGTGTCCAGGCTGTTCCTCTGCTGCCCTGGCATCCACCCCCCTGCCCCTTCCAGCCCAGTGGAGGTGGCCCTCACCTTGTGCAGCCAGTGCAGGTTCATCTGCTGCCCCACGGCAACATGACATAGTGCCAGGACCTGAGGAGGGGCCCAGAGGGTGACAGTCAGGCCCTGTATGTGGCCAGAAGGCTTCACCAGTTCCCCAGACACCCTATTACTCTCCCTCCAGGTGACAGGAATACCCTGCCCAGCCCTGCCCAGCCCAGCCCAAGCCTGGTCTCCTCCCAGATTATTCCAGGCCTCTAGGCTCCTCCTTCTCTGGCATTTCTACCTCAAGAGGTCACCAAGTCCTGCTGCACTTAGACTGCCTAATAGAACTCACCAAATGTTTTGGGAGTTCCAGACCCCAGGATTCTGAAACAGACTTGAGCCCTGTGTCCAGGGAGTCCCCAGTCCAGCATGGGGATTGACCTGAGTCTCACTGAGTGAAGTATTTGGAGCAGGATCCCAAAGCAGAGGTTCTTGGAGGAGGAGGAGATATGTGGTGGGGCCTAATATCTGGGATGGCTCTCACTAGGTCAGGAAGGGGCAGCTGAGGGAGACTGGCAAAAGCGAGGTGACCTCCCACCTTGGAGGACTCAGAGGTGCAGCAGCCCGAGGCCCTGGGTAAAGCTAGCTTCACCCTTTAGATGAGGATGGGCCCTCCATCAACCCAGCACAGGCCAAGTCTCCCTTCCCCTGGGAGCAGGGTGGCCTGCCTTCCAAGACAGGCCCACGTACCAGGAGGCCAGCGATGTACGTGAAGGCGGTGGCTGTGGTCACCAGGATGGGCACAGACCAGTCGCTCCAGTAGCCCATGCGGTTGTAGAGGTACCTGCCAGGAGAAGGGGTAGGGGTCAGACCTCCACTGGGCCAGGCACCAGGATGGTCTCAGCTCCCACGCGGCTGGGCTCAGTGACCAGGCCCTGCCATGCAATAACGACACTCAGCATCTCCTTGATCAGTCATGCCTGTGCATGTGGACACCTGGGGATCAAGAAGCATAAAGAAGAAAACAACAAATCCTCGTAATTCTACTGCCAGAAGTAATCATTACCAAGACTGTGCTGAATTTTCTTCTTGTGGGTTCCCCTCCATGCCTAGATGTCTGTATAAACAGCAAAGCTGGGACCCCACTGCACATAGGATAGTGGGCAGGAATGCTGGACTCAAATCCCCACTCTGTCTCTTACTGCCTTGCAGGACCTTGTGGGGGTGACAGGCTTCATTGATCCTAAGATGCCATAAACTGTGACATCTGTCTCAACTTCCATGTTAAAATGTGTAAATATGGAGTCATAGAATAAAAAGATAACACCTGACTTCTCTGAGCCTTAGCTTCCTCATCTACAGGGTGGGAGAAGAAGAGGCTGCCCTTCCTATGGGATCATGAGAATGAGGTGGGGCGAGGCACATGGAAAATACTCAGTAAACTGGCTGCTGCTTTTTTTTTTTGTTGTTGTTATGTATAAAATATATTTATCAAGATAAATATACAATTGTCTTACCTTCTTCACAAATCAAGATTAATTTACCCTGTACCAGCCAGCCACCAAAATAAACTCGCTTCTTAACACAGGCATTTATTGATGTCAGTAGAAATCTTGAGGAAATGGGATTTTTTTTTTTTAACAGCCACATGGTCTTCCACTGAATTTATGTACCAACTTCCTACTAATGGTACTTCATAGTTTCCAATTATCCACTTTTACAAATAAACACAAAAATGAAAATGTTGTACACATTTTTCTGTATTTCCGATTATTTCCTTAGGATAGATTCCTGCAAATAGAATTACAGGGTCAAAGGGAATGATCTTTTTAAGGCTCCTGATAAGTAAGGCTTAGTTGCTTGCTCTCCAGAAAGACTGAACCATTCTCCTTGTACAACTGGGGAAACTGAGGCTCAAAGTCATTAGAGAATCCAAGCCAGAGCCAGGCAGTTTCAGTCTGCTGCCATTGTGGGCCTTGGCAGAGGGCTGGGAAGGCAGATGACCCAGAAGGACCCTATGGGGCATCTGTCCTCTTCTGTGCCCCTCCCTGGCCCTCACCCTCTGAGTCTGGGGGAAAATCTATTGCCTGGAAGATCACTGAGTGGGGCCGGCCCGTGGCTCACTCGGGAGAGTGCGGTGCTGATAACACCAAGGCCACGGGTTCGGATCCCATAGAGGGATGGCCGGTTCACTCACTGGGTGAGCGTGGTGCTGACACCACCAAGTCAAGGGTTAAGATCCCCTTACCGGTCATCTTTTTTAAAAAAAAAGATCACTGAGTGCACTCATCTTACTGTACAGTTGGGGAAACTGAGGGCTAAAGAGGGGCAGGACTTTCTGCTGGTAACTATTCCTGAGAGATGTTCTGGTCCCTCTTATCTCCCAAGTGTGACCACTTTTGGCAGGGAGCCCTCCAGGACAGCAACAGCCCAGATCCCCTCCCCCAACCTTCATCCAGTTCTGACCACCTGGGTCCTGCTCACATCCTCTTACTGCATGAGCTGTCCCCAGAGACTCTCAAGACCAAGAGGGCTGGGCCAGGGTCTCCTGAACCCAGCACTGACTCCACGACACTGAGATGACAGGTTGAAGGAGCTGCAGGTCAGCAGGCATCCCTGAGTCCCAGGCAGGCCCTCCCTTGCAGCCTCCCCAACAGGGCAGGCACCTCTCCTCTGCTTGAGTCTCCAGTGACAGGGAACTCACTCTCTGGGCAGAGTGGGGTGGCTCTGTGCACATGAGACAGTCAGTCAGGCTTCAGTCCCCATCCCAGATCTGTCTGCATCTTGCTGTGTGACTTAGGAAAAGCTACTTAACTTCTCTAAGCCTTGGTCTCCTCACACTGTCCTCAAAGTATGATTTTGGCACTAAGTGGTTGTGTGGCCATGGATGAGTCCTGTCCCTCTTTGGGCCTCAGTTTCCCCATTTATACATGATGGGGGGGACCTTATGATCTTCCAGGCATCAGACTTCCAGTTCAGCAGAACTGTCCAGGGTCTGCATCCAAAGGCCAGCAGGGAATGTTTCCCTTTACTTGTGATAGCACCTCTGTGGTGGATACCTGCAAAGTGAAAAATTGATTTATGGAATTTAATAAAGGCCAGAGGCCACCTCTGGGACTCGGCTGGGGCTATGGCTCATCTTGCTGGGCTGCTGTGGAGTAGGAGTGGGACAGTAGCACGTCCTTTATTGTGCTCATTAATAACAGAGGCACAGCTTGATGCTGTGCAGAGGAAAGTAGACACCCAGACTCCATGAACAGAGTCTTAGGATCATCACAGAATCCTGTACTCACAGGCCATCAGAAGCCCAGAGTCCTATAAATGCCAAATTCTAACATCATGGCCACCTTCCAGCTAGAGATTTGGTCTGCCAGAAAGCAGCCCTCACATTTCAGTGGAGTTTTAAGCCCTCTCATATCCACCATCTCATTTCATCCTCAGAAAGACCCGATGAAGTCACAATTACCCCGTTTTATAGAAGAGGAAGCTGAGGCTCAGAGAGCACCAGAGACTTGTTTACAGTCACACTGACCTGAACTTCTGATCAAAAGGAAGAAACAGCACTGGATGGGGAGTGAAGAGGCCTGGTTCCACGCCCCAACTCTGTCCCCAACTGGCTGTGTGGCCTTGGACCTGTTTTTACACCTGTCCATTGTCCCTCCCCTCCTTCCATGGCCTTTTGTTTAACAAAAGGCAGGCAATGGAGGGAAGACAAGGAAGAAACAGGTGCCCATCCTGCACCCAGGTACTGCCTCATACAGCCCTGCCCTTGGACTGAGGTGCCCATAACGGCCCCTGAGCTGTCTCAGAACCACAGCATCTGCCAGCCCTGCCCCGAGCCCAGCTAAAGGAGTTAAGAGGCCTGGGATCTGGGAGCCCTGGCTTACATTCCTATTTTCCAAGATAGCACCAGCAGGAGGGAGTGCCCTGTAGCTAAACTTCCCAGCTTGCTTCAGCTGCTACTGAGCCTTTGTTCTTTCAGGCTCCCCTCCACCTTGGGAGACCAGTACTACAGGCTGAATCACCTATGCAAACACCAAGGGGTCTCCAAGGAGACCAGCAGCTGAAGTTCCACCGGTTTAAATCCCAGCCATCCTTCAAGGCCCATTTCCCATGCCTCCTCCTCCAGGAAGTCTTCCCTAAGCCTCCAGTGGGACTCCCATCAGGACATGGATCTCCCTTTTTCTCTTCATCTTTCTTGCCAGCTGTGATGCTCCCCGCTTTCTACCCATAGTCTCACACCAGCCTCGCTAAAGCCTTGGAAGTCAGCAGGAGAGAGGCTCACAGGGGGTGGGCCTTGCCCAAGGCCACACGGAGAGCTGGTGGCAGAACTCTGAGCGCCAGCCTGAGAGAGAGGCTCAAACCTGAGCCCCAGGTCCCAGCCACTGGGTACACGGGACCCAGGCCCCTCCTCCCGGCACCCTCCACCTCCCACACTCACCAGTTGAATTCGTCATAGTCATTATGGACTTCCCACCAGAAGTAGAGCCAGGTGAGCGTGAGGCCGAAGGTGAAGGTGAGAAGCAGGAACCAGAGGCGTTCCCACTGCAAGAGCAGAGCGAGAAGAGGGTCAAGTGCTGCCTCCCACTCGGAATGCTCCCCCTCCTCCCCTTCTGTAGCAATGCCTCCCCGGCAGGGACTACCACCCTCTTTGCACTGGTGAGACACTGAGGCTCAGTGAGGGGAAGTGAACTGTCCAACATCACGGAGCCCAAAGCCGCAAAATAGTGGGAAGCCAGGAGCTGGGGTCCACCCTAGAGCTGTGCTCTTTATTCTGCAGCCTGAGGTCTTTCCGGTGTGTGCCAGTCCCCCCATTCTGGCGATGGCCCCCAGAGGCAAAGGCCACATCTGCCCTACGCTTTCGCACTGGCACAGTGATCTGCAGTCTGTGAAGTCACAGTCCGCTCCTGTTCCATCCTCACCCATGCCTATAAAGCAGCTGCTCTTCCTTCCCTCTACCCCACATTACCAATAAAAACACTGAGGCCCAGAGAGGCCAAGCAACTCGCCCAAGTCACGCAGCAAGTTAGCAGAGGATTAAGGACCAGTCCCCTGCTCAGTTGGATGCCAGACCTTCAGGGCTGGGCCAGTTTGCCCGTCTGTCTCCAGCCAGGCTGGGGGTGTGCTGGCGGGGGTCGCTGACACACTGCTGCTGCTTCCCGAAGGGCCGGCTCAGAGGTCTGCAGGCGCTTCCGCCTGGGCCCTCCGGTTTATCCCTGCTTTCATCCGTGCCCTTATCTCGGAAGCACAACAAGCTCAGAACATCCTGCATCCTGGGAAACTGCTGAGATCATCAGAACAAGTCAACAGCCACTGAGGGGAGGCCAGTGGGAGGAGAGAACCAAGACCACCCTAACCTTGAGGGCCTGGGGTGGAGGACACATCCCTACCTCTGGAGCAGAGGCAACTCTCACCTGGCACTGCCCAGGCCCCTCGCTGGGCTCCCTGCTGCCCTGACCCCTCCCTCCACACGTGACAGCCAGCTCAGAGCTATGGTGCTACTCCTCGCTGCTTAGCCAAGCAGGGAGGCCCTCTGGGTATGGCCCTCTGACCTCTCCAGCTTCATCCCCACCAACCAGTTCTCTCAACCTGGAAGGGTCACTTCCCCTGGGCTCGTTCCCCCAACATTCCCATTCACCTTTCAAGTTGGCTTCAATGTCACCTCTGTGAAGCCCCCTAGACTCTGCCTTGCTACCCTAAAGCCCTCCTCTGTTCTCCCACAGCATCGGCGTCCCTCTGTCTCTAAACTCACATTCTGTGCACTGTGACTGGCTTACACGACTGTGTCCCCAGATGCCTGTGGGTTCTGCCAGGAGGGGATTGAGTCTGCCTCCCCTCCAATAGCATTTATGACTGCAGGCAGGAATGTGCAAGAGGAGGAGGAAAAGTTCTCTCACTGGCCAGAACACCTCCATCCTTCGCGGCCCGGAGGCCGGCACCTCGGTGGAGGGGTTACACATACGGTGTTTCTGGAGCCAGACCTCCTGGCCACTTCAAATCCCTATCTACCATTCACAAGCTGTATGACCCCAGGCAAGGTACTCAACCTCTCTGTGCCTCAGCCCCCTCCTCTGTGCAATGACAACAATGGCACTAATGTTGACATGGGAATTAAATGAGACAACACAAGTCAGTGCTCAGAACGATGCCTGGCTAACAGTCAGTGCTCTCTCAGTGTACCTGTCAGCATCTCTGCCTCCCCGACGATCAGTGACTTGGTACACACCGAGTGCCTGGGGCTCGTGCTTGGGTGAGCCGCCGCCACTGCCACTCACTGCTGTGTGCAGAGCTAGGCTGCCTTGCTGAGCCCTGCTTTTAGCCTCACTTTGTTCATAACCAGAGATGCGAAGGTGCTGACACCCTGAAACCCAGTCTCCCCAGCAGGTTCAGGCTGGGCGGTTCAGGGGTGGCTTCTCAGAGGGTAGGCCACTTGTGTCTGCCTCACCTGGGCAAAGCCTCTGCACCTCTGACCAGCAAAGAAGGTTCTGAGAGGGGCCTGGGTGAGGGGTGAGCTTCAGCCTGGGACGGGTCCTGTCCCTGGCAAGCAGCCTGGAAGTCGAGAGGGTAGAGAACCTGCCCCAGGTGCTGGGAAGACGTCCTGTGGCAAGGTGTGAGGAAGGACCCAGGGACAACGCTGACAGGAGGCTGGGAAGACTGCAGTGTCAGGAGAGCCCACAGCCAGGGCTCCTGTGCACCGAGGGTCACTGCTCTCGCTTGGCCAGATCTTGCTGCAGGGCAGGAAAGAATGAGGAGCTGCACCTTCTGCCCCAGGAACCAGCCAGGGTGACAAGATTAGAGCCGGCAGGTGGGTGAGGCACCAAGCATGGCAGGGATGGAGGTAGAACCTAAGCAACAAGGAACTAGGAACCCCATTATCAGAATGGGAGCATGAACTGGAGTTGGGGGTCCTAGGATTAAAGTTCTGGGAGCTGGAAGTCCAAGGCCATGGGCCACAGGGAGCCTGCAGATGGGGATGAAGAGCCCCAGCTGCAGTGAGGAGGTGCACAGTGGGGGTCACTCTGAACAACTGGAGGAAGGAGGAAAAAACTGAAGGGCAGAGGATGGGAGAAAGGGGGAGGGGGCAGCAAGCAACTGTTGGCAGGAAGAGGCCAGTGGAGCAGCTCAGCTGATAAAGAGGCTCCAAGTGGCACTAATGGTCCTCGTCAGGGCGCATTACAGAAGAGAAAGGCCTGAGCACTCCCCCATTAACAAGCCCATCTGGCCCTGCTCCCAGGAACAGTGGAGCTGCCTATGAGGCCACGGCCACACTGCAAGGCCCTCTCTCATCTCTGTCTGCGCAATACCAGCCGTTGATTATTTAGGGTATTTATACCCATCACACTGAGGATCGGAGAAGGGTCCCCGCACATGGATTTACACAAAGGCTCAACATGGGCGAGTTGGAGGTAAGTCAGAGAGGTCACTGAGTAGGGGAGGAATGAGGATGGGATTGAACCCAGGTGTCCTGACCGGAGGCAGTCCTCTGCAGTCCTCGGGAGCCAGCCCTGAGCAGCTCCCCGCAAACCCCGCCCTTTCCCTCTGGGATTCAGTATGGCGACCCCAGGCCCAGCTTGGCCCCCTTGGATTCCTCTCTTCTCTTTCTCTGGGGTCCGCCCCAGGCCAAACCTCTTGCTCCTTTAGAAAGCCTTTCCAGCCCTCCAGCCCCCAAAGACCTCCCTTCCCTGACCATCCTGCATAGACTCTTGGTACCCACTAACACGACCCTCAATCACATTCTATGGGGTGGAGATGGGAAGAGCACGGGTTCTGAAGACCTGGCTCTGCCGCTGGGGCAGCTTGTTTAGCCCCTCTGAGCCTTGATCTCCTCCCACAAGTGGGAATTATAACCCCTACCTCGGAGGGATGCTGTTGATGAGCTGATGCACTTCAAGTGGCACAGAGTAGGTGCATAATAAGGGACAGTTCACTGGGTTGTGGATTCCTCTAGAGCAGGGATGGCCTAAGATAGTTCTGTGTACCCTGCATCTGAGGCACAAGGTCGTGCTCAGATATGGTGTGAGGAGCAGAAGAAGGTATGAACGTGAGACTGTGGGACACAGGACGCTCATGGCCACCAGTGGATAGGGCCATTGTCCAAGTCCTGGACTTGTTCTCAGGGAGCAGGACAAAGGCTGAGCAGGCTGGGGCTGAGGCTTAGGGAGTAGCACCTCCTGGGGTCGGGCAGTTCCTGAGGTCTCCCAGGCCACAGCAGGCCCCAGGAGGGGTACACTGGAGGCTGCCTGCATGAGGGGCCAGAGAGAAAGACAGAAGCTGGGGCAGATGGCCCCTTGCTATGGACAGGATAGGTTGCTCCATCCCTGCTCCCAGGGACGAAGGCTGAGGTCAGGGCAGCTCTGATGGAAAATCCCAGAGGCCATGGCATTCAGCCCCACAAACTCTGCTCCATCTCCTTCCCATTCTTGCCCTAAGGCAAGATGAGACCCTCCACTGCAATCTTGGCAACAGTGGGCCAATTTCCCTGAAGGCCGCTGCTCCTCCTCAGCGTCTCCTCACTCCTCCCTGTCTCTGTCCTGTCCGTCTTATCCCAGAGACTCTGCATTCAGAGAAAGACGTGTGGAAAGAGCTTATTAGCAGCTAGGGCTCATATGGCCACAGAGCACGACTGCAGCTGCAAACCCCAACCCTACCCAGGAAGCGTGGGCACAGCCGCTGGGGTAGCACAGCCCTGTTGCTGTCGTCTGCCACTCACTACAAGCCCCTGCCTGCCCCTGACTGTGGCCCCAGGCCAGGATGCCTCTCCCACTACTGGGGACCCTGTAGAGTACGGAGCACCTCCCCCAGGTCCCTAAAGAGAATGTGGAATGTGAACTCTGCCATCTGGGCAATGCCTGAGCAGGAGCTGCCAGCTCCACCCTGGCAATATCACAGACTTTCCGAAGCACAGACCTCTCAGAGCCGGAGCTGTCTTGCTCAATTCCCATTCCCAGCCTCTGCAGCCTCCAGGACAGAAGCTCATCCTGCTTCTGCTCCAGTAGCTCCAGAGATGGGAGTCCTCCCTCTGGACGCTGCCTGGTCCTCCTCTAGACTGAAAGTTCTTCCATCTAAGACCTCCCTAATAGGGGAGGCTATGTTTGGAAGGCTAGCAACACTGGGTTCGAATACCAGACTGACCACCACTGAGTGACCCTGGGGAAGACATCTCTTCTCTGGGCCCCAGCTTCCTGCTCTGTAACTTGGGGGTAGCACTACTGACATCACCAAGACCTGACACACAAAGCATCTGGTGATGGCCAGGCAGTAGGAGTTGGTTTCCCTTCCCTTCCCCTCCTGAGGGGGGTGGAAATTGCCTCCTTGAATGCTACCCTGCAGCCAGCTCTCTGATACCATACAGAACAAGTCCAGCCAAAAGAGCAAGAAATACTGGGGTCAAACGGCCAGGGAGTGGGGGAATATAATACAGAGCTGAATTTTAATCCCAGCCCTGCTACCCCTGGCCGTGTGGCTGACGGCCAGTCCCTTGGGACCTAAACCTCAGCTTCCTCCTCTGTTCACAGGGATGACATCACCACCACCTCACAGGAGGG